AAAATGGCTGCATTACTGATTAAAATGGGATCATGAAAGAGAGCTGGCGTGAAGAAGAGGTGGAGCACTGCTTCTCTTTTGATGACCTCTCAGAAGGTGTATCTCATCTGCAGCCCCAAGAAACTACAGTCCTATGAACTGCTACCCATATGCCCATAGGCACAGCTGGCTAGACAGGGCAGGGGCACGTGCATGACACAAATGGGGTGAGTGAGATTCTTTGTTCTAGATATTTAGAATTAAGGAAGAGAGACAGGTAATAATTTCAGGAGTTCCTAAAGCTGGCTTCCATGCTTGAGAAGAAAGAAAGAAAGAAAAAGAGAAATAAAGAGAGGAGGGAAAGAGGAAGGAAAGGAAGAAGGTATGAAGTTAGTGAGTTTCTGTTGTTGTTGTTGTTATGCATCATCCAACTTATAGCGACCCTATGTACAACAGCTCTGAAGCCTGCCCTGTTCTGAGCCAGTCTCACTGGCTCTGATATACCTATTCCACTGCCCTAGTTACTGGATCAATCCATCTCGTCCAAGGTCTTCCTCTCCTGTGTTGTCCTGCCACACTTCTGAACATCATGTCCTTCTCCAACAACCAGTCCCTCCTGGTCATGTGCCCAAAATATGTGCGACAGAGCTTCAAAATCCTAGCCTTCAAGTATAAATTTGGTTTCACCTTCCCCAAGACAGACTGATTCATTTTCTTGGGGGGCCCATTGTAGGTCAAGGCTCTTCTTAAGCACCACAATTCAAAGACATCAATTCTTCAGTAATCCTTAGTCATTATCTGTCTCTCTGATGCACAGCAAGTAATTGCGAAGACCATGGCATGCATGGTCATCAAGCACACCTTAGTCTCTTGACTGACACTGTTGCTTCTCAGTACTCTGGAGAGGTCCTTGACACCAGATTTTTCCCAGTATAATGCATCTTTTTATTTCTTGACTGCTGGTGACAAGAGGATTGATTATGGAGCCAAGCAAGCTATAATTGTTAACAAACTCAATCTTTTCCTCTATCATGGTGCTGCCAGTTGGCCCAATAGTGTGAATCTTTGTCTTCTTGATGTTGAGCTTCAATCCATATTGAAGACTGCACTCCTAGTTGGAAGAAAAAAGTAGCTGGGACATAAGACAATCATAAAAATCATAAAGGTAAAGTACCAAGGAAATGAAAATGAGATAAAAACCTTTCCATTTCACTGGAGAATAGGATAGGAATCTAGATCTGGCCTCTGAAGTGTGTGTATATATATATTTATGTTTTTATCTATATTTTATATCTTTTTATATATATTATATATATTTTTTTATATATTTATATATATTAAACAAATAAGCACATACTCTGGACATCTGAGCAGCTCTGATGGCATAGTCTATAGTGAATCATCCTGCTAACCAAAAAGCCAAGCATCTCTGGTGGTTCAAAATCACCAGTGGCTCCACCAGACAAAGGGAGACGTCTTCTCCAATGAAATAAAGAATAAAGTGCACTGCATGGTATCTGCACTCAGCAGTTTATTCCTGCTGGGATGTTCAAAGGGAAGTGCAATAGAAATTCAGTATCTGGCATTGTTGGTTTTTTTGGCATTGTGCAAGATAAACCTTGTATTTCTATTGATGCAGTTTGAAAGACACACACAAAAAAGAAGAAAAATGAATAAAATGGGAAATGACTGTTTCTAGGACTGGAAATACACAAGAGGAGAAGACGATGATAATAAAATTAATGCTACAGAAACAAAACCAAAAACCCATAATGATGGGAGTATGCCAAAGGGACAGGGAAACTCTGTGAGAGTTCCCAGGAAACAGAACTAAAATGATTTGAGCAGCAAAATAAAGAAAGAAGGAAGATGATTTCCTCCTCAAGGGTGGACTACATACAATGGCTTGATGCCAAAGAGGACAGCGTGCAAAGGAGTAGAGTAACTTTACAGTGAAGGACCCTGACAGACTCTCTCTCAGCCAGGTGAGCAAGGTCTGTAACACTAAGTCTCGGTCAAGATCATGACTGATAAGATGTGATGCAAATAACTCTTAACCACTGTGCTTTTTTTCCCCATAGCGTTTCACATCAGTCTAATAGTGTGATAAACATTATACAAATTCCAAGAGGGACTTCTGCAAAATACCTGACTAGCACTCCTCAAAGGTTAAACAAACAAGCGAATGCAACCAACTGTCATGATCACCAGAACCAAAGAAAAGTCTGAGATACTGTCAAGAGGAGCCCAAGGAGTCCTGCCAACTAAATGCAACTCAATCCTGGATGGGATCCTCAAACAGGAAACAACATTATGTCAAACTAATGAAACTGGAATTAAGTAGGGATGGTAACTAATAATGCATCAATGAAACCAACACACACACCTGTCGCCAATGATTCTGACTCATGGAAGAACCATGGGTTCCAGAGTAGACCTGGGCTCTGAGCTCAAAAGCATCTCTTGGCTGTAATCTTTAAAAAGGCAGATCGACAGGCCTTCCACTCACAGCACCCATAGGTAGGTTCAGTGCCAGCCTTCCAGATGAGCAGCAGAGAGCAAACCCCCGGAGTCCCACAGGAACCCACACTGGCTCGTCAGTGGCCAACAGACCATGTCAATATAAGATGCTGATAATGGGAGGGAGCTCCGCTGGCCTAGTTTTTAAGGACTTTTGCTGCTAATCTGGAGGCTAGCCTCTTGGGAGTTCAAATCTGCCACTGGTTCTGTAGGAGAAGGATGGGCAATTTCGTCCAATAGGTTTCATAGCCTGGGGGTCAGCTAGGAGCTGTTTCCAATGCCATAGAAGCGAGTTGAGTGGTTGAGCTGAAAAACAGAAGACAGGATGTGGGGAGTATATGAGAACTTCTCATGTACAATTTTTTTCCCCAGATATCACAATATTCTAAAAATGAAAGTATATTTTTGAAAGGTAATAAAAGAAAGTTATGCATACATATGTATGTTTGCACATGCATAGCAAATGGGTAAAGAGAGAGCACACATACTTACCTGTAAATAGCAGTTGTCCCCAAGAAAGGAGTCTGGGGGCTAGGGTCAGCAATGGGAAGAAATGCTGTTTCACTGGGTACTTTTTTGTGTTGTTTGAACTTGACAACTATACAAGGAACTTTTCAAAGGACAGCAAACTACGTAGTTTGGAAATCATCCAGTCTATGGGAAAATATGAACTAATTCCCAGCTATGGGGTCAGGTTTAACAAGCAGTCTGTCAGTGCACATGAATTTCTGTGTGAAGGAAATGTTGCTTATGGAACATCGGGATCCCACTTTTGCAACTCTGAACAAGGAATCATTCCTCCCTTGAGCAGGATCAAGTTCAATGATATCTTATTATTGTACAACTGGAGTCCCTTCAGAGCTTTCCATTTGGTCAAGCACATGAACACAGGCATAAAAATGGTCCCACTTGGAGAAATGAGATGACGGACGTGCTAAACAAACACATCGGGTGAAGTCCCAGCCTCAAGGGCCCAAGTGGCCAGCAGAGTGACAAAGCCAATGGAGCTGCTGTGCCTGATGCTTGCTATTAAGGCTGAATTTACTCCACGGCCCATTACAGCAAAGGTAAGAGCAGAGGATATTCAAGCCATATCTGTCCAGGCCCACCGCTCTGACATCTTTACCTCGGCACATTTGGGAGTCTCAGCTAACACACTAAGGTCACAGAAATGTTATGAATACCTTAACGAGAAAGGCGGAAGTTCTTTGTCACACTTTACAGATCTGTTCTTCACAGCCCGTTCTGAAATGTACAATGCTTAGGCTACAGGAAAAGCTATCTGCTAACTTAAAATGAGCCAAAGGTCAAATGATACGGCTTTAGGTTCCATCTAGAATCTAAATCTCCCAAGGAACACAAGAGGAGACCATGCGTACCTAAAGAACAAACAAATTTGTCCTGGCACAAGGGCAGCAGAGTGTTTCTTAGAAGCAAGATGGTGAGGCTTTGTTTCGCATACTTTGGGTAGATTATCAGGAGAGGCTTGTCCCAGGAGAAGGGTGACACACTTGGAGAAGAAAAGAATCAGCAAAAGAGGAGGAAGACTCTTGGAGAGGTGGGTTGACACAGTGATTGGAACAGCAGGCTTACTTAAGCTCAGCGGAGATGGTGAGGATGGCACAGGACCGGGCAGGCTTCAACAGATTCAGAAGACTAAAAACTGGATGGAATATGTTTATGGCATTGAAGTCTATGGGGGA